ACTTGACATTTGTAAATAATATATATGTATCGGCATAAGGTGATTCTTTCCTCAGTAATGAAAATCAAAAACCTTATCCTAAATAAAATACAACCTACAGCTTAATGAAACTGATTTTAAAAATTTCTCAACTTTATATAATTAGGAAGTCGGTAATATTTTAGAATTTAAAAAAGCAGATATGGGGACTTCTTAAGATAACAGCAAATGTCTTGTTCTGTGTTATATATAAGTCCTGCAAAACAATACAGAAAAATAAGATCCAATAAAGCCATGCAAAACCACAACCTTCACAAAACTGGAAGACAGAAAATACCCAAACTTCAAAACATCTGTAAATAAAAAGAGGAAAATAATTCTAAATCCTAGCAAGTGACCTCTCATGTTCCTGCCCGGAAATCTCTGCAGTAAGCATGAGCTCACTGCATGTGAACAGACTTAACTCCTCCATCAAAACAAAAAGATCTCTGACTTGGATCCAAAGCAAGACCCAACTATATGCTATACATAGAGAAAAGTAGTCATAGATAGAAACACACTAAAATAATAACAGGAGACTTTAATATATCACTCTTTGTATAAGACAAACCAAGCAGACAAAAAATAAAGTACACAAAAGACTTAAATATCATAGTTATTAATAAAGGTAGATCTTAAGGATGTATATATCAAATTTATACTTTTATATGGCGCACTTTCTTTTCTAGTCCTTATGTAACACCCACAAATATCAATCATGTTTTTGGAGGACTGAGACAGGGGTGAGGCAAGTGAGTTGGCCAAGGTGAAAAACAAAAGGAGACTCACTACAGGGTTCCTGCAAGTCCATTGTTGACACATAAGTGTGAGTATCTCCTTAAAATTTGCACCTTGGGTCCCTCATTTGCTTTACCCTGGTCCTGGCCTTGATATATTAGGTCACAAAGAAAGTATTAGTGTGTTCCATAAAGTGGAAATAAAGAGGCAATACTCCTTGATCACAATGCATTAAAACTAGAAATTAACAACAAAATTTTTTAAAAAGCCAAAAAATCTACCACCTGGAAATTAAAAAACCTGCTATGGACTGAATTGTTGAAGTCCTAACCCCCGTATGTAACTAACTGTATTTGGAGATAGGGCCTTTAAAGTGGTAACAAAGGTTAAATGAGGTGCGTCCTAATCCTACAACTGGTGTCCTTATAAAAGAAGAGATACCAGGGATACACATGCACAGAGGAAAGGCCCTGTAAGGACACAGTAAGAAGGCCAAACCAAGGAGAGAGGCCTCAGGGGAAACCAAATCTACTAACATTGAGATTTCTGACTTCTACCTTCCAGAACTGTAAGAAAATAAATTTCTATTGTTTAAACTATCCTGTCTATGGTATTTTATTATGGCAGCTTCAGCAAACTATTAGTTTGACCTACTATTAAACAATTACACTTTCTATCAATACATCTTCTATTAAAACACTACATATCATAATCTATAGAATACACTTAAAGCAGTGATAAGAAAATTCTCAGCATAACACTTTTACCAATAAAGATGAAAGAATGAACATTAGCTGAATTAAATTCCGAACTCAAAAAATAACTCAAAAATGAACAAATAAACTAGAAGAAAGCAGAATGTATATACAACATGATCTTAGAAAACTAAGAATCCACAAAGCACCTAGAAGATACACGACTTCAGTAAGGTCAAAGGATTCAATATCAATATGTAAAAGTCAACTATATTTGTATATGCTACCAATAAACAATTAGAAAGTGAAATTAAACAAAACCTCTATTTATAATCACACAAAGTGCTTAGAAATAAAATATAACACAAGAAGAACAGGACATATACAATGAACACTACAAAACTTTGATGACAGAGACTAAAGATGACATAAATAAATGAAGAGATATACCATATTCATAGACTGGATAGACTCAGTATTGTTGAGATGACAACTCTTCTCAAATTCAGATTCAATGCATCCCAATCAAAATCTTAACAAGTCTTTTTGAAAATGGTGATAACCTGATTTTAAAATTTATGTGTAAAGGCAAATGACCTAGAAGAGTCAAAATAATCTAGACAAAAAAGAACAAAGTAGAAGACTTGCACTGTCTGAATCAAACTTAACTATGAAGCTATAGTAGTCAAGAGAGTGTGATATTGGTGTCAAGACAAACATACAGATCAATGGAATGGAACAGAGTCCAGGAAGAGACATACACATATGTAGTCAACTGATTTTCAACAAGGTACCAAAATAATTCAAAAGGGGAAAAGACAGTTTTCAACAAATGGTGCCTAAACAACTGATGCCTACATGGAAACAAAAAATGAATGTCTACCACCACCTCACACCATATAAAAATTAACATGAACTAGATCACAAAACCTAAATGTAAGAACCAAAAATTAATCTTTTGAGAAGAATACATAAGAGAAATATTTGTGACACAGAATTAGGCAAAGATTTCTTAAATAGAACACAAAACACAAACTAAAAAAAAAAATTAACAAAA